GGGGGGTGGGGGGCTGAGGCTGGGCTGTGCCATGGGGCAGGGAGCAGGGACACCCCAAAGCTTGCAGCTGGCTGGGACCTGTGCCAGTGGACGGTTCAGAGGGCAGAGGTGGGCTGTGGCTCTGTCTGGGTGCAGGGGAGCTTCCAGGAGCTGGTGAAGAGGCAGGGGTAGGAGGTGGCTCTGTTGGGGGCAGAGGAGCTGTCTTGCAGGGGATGGCACAATGGCAGGTGCTGGCTCTGTGGGTGCAGGGTGCCTGGCTTGCAGAGGCTGGGGTGAGTGGGGCTCTGCTGGGGGTGGGAATCTGGCTGGCAGGGGCAGGGGCAGGGGCAGGGGCAGGGGGAGCAGGGGCAGGGGCAGGGGCAGAGGTAGTGGCATGCAGGGGCATGCAGGGCCTGAACTTACATAGTTGGTCGCCCACCAGGACTTGAGCACTAGGTACTTCTGAAGCCGGGGCGCTGTGTAGTTCTGGAAGTCCTGGGCCAGCACCTCCATCTTGCTAAATTGGGCATCGTCCAACAAGGGCCGCACAGACTCCAGGTACTGCTGGCACAGGTGTCCTCACGGGTTAGAGGCCTGACTCTCTGCAAGGCCTCGCCCTGGGAACACCGCTCTGCAGGGTGGCGGGAGGGCAACGCTAGCACCCGTGTGGGGCCTCCCCTCCCCTCCCTGCCCTGGGGGCCCCTGGCCAGACATTTACCCAAACCAGGACTCCCTCCTCTGCCCAGGCACACCCCTGGCTCCCTGACCCCAGGGTCTCTGCACACCCAGCACTGATGCCTGTGGCTCACTGGGGTGGGTACCATTCAGCCTGCCCCTCCCCCATTTCCTGTGCCCTTGGGACTTCTGAGGTCCAGCTAGGACCAGCGACCTGGCCCATGTGCTCATGGCCCATGGCTTGAGGCCTGCTGGCTCCTGCCCTGCAGCTGGGCCCAGATGCACCCCTACCACCTCACTGGGGGCATCCCCCTCTGCAGCTGGTGTCCGTAGGTAGGAAATGCCCATCCATTCCCAGGCTGTTCTGCCCCTGGGGCCCCTAGCATGGGCCTTTCTGACAAGCCCCATGGGAGCTGGGCCTGGTGCCAAGCATCCCATTGCAGGCCATGTGGTGGGAGAGACACATGTTCTGTCCTGGAATAAGGGCCAGGGAGGGAATGGAGGGGGATGTGGGACCAAGGCATGAGCTAAGGGGGGCAGGGGCAAAGGGAAGAAGTAGTTTCAAATCCATTAAGCCACCAGGCTCCATAGCTCCCCTAGTGGGAGCAGAGGCCTGAGCTGCTCTTAACCCTTGGTGCTCTACCTCCCACAGGGACTACTGGACTCGGCTCCTCCCCCTTACCCTGTGAATGGTGGCCTGCACGCTGGGAACAGGCAGCTTGGGTAGTGCACTCTGGAAGCTGTACAGCATGGGTTTGTGGCCAGTCATGACCTTCATTACGGCCTGGAAAGCAACAGAGAGAGCTGTACTGGGAGGTAGGAGGGGGCAGAAATCGGGCCCCAGGAAGATGCTAGGGAGCCTGTCATCAGCCCCATCTCAGCTTCCTCTGCCCCTTGCCATGGGGCAACCCCTTCCACATGAACCCCTCTCTGTGCTGCTGTCACAGATTCAACCACCCAGCCCTGTCTGCCCCGTGCGGGCTCTGTGGGAGACTCATCATTGCCATGACGGAAACAGACCCCTGCCTCTTCCCTTCATCACCTCAGCCCCCATCCCACCCCATGTATGTACACATGCCTGCACATGCACACAGCTCTTCCTCAGCCCTCTGTGCAGTGCATAGCACTGCTGTTCTGCCTGTCACACACGACAGGTAAACCTCCAGCTCAGAGACCTCTGCAGCCCCCACAGCTACACCCAGACCCTCCCACATGGTGTGTCCAAGACAGGCTGTTTCTCCCCACCCCATCTCTTGCTAAGGCCCTGCATCTAAGCTGCTGCCATGTCCTGCCCTTCACTCCACTTGGTCTGTCTTGGAAGCAGCTTCATGGCTCCTTCCATGGCAGGTCCCTCTGACCCCATCACCCCTTTCAGTGCTTCCTGCATGGGGTGGGGGATGTGCTGTCATGACCCTGCACAGCTTGTCCCCCCTTCCTGTTCCATGCTGGGCCAACCCCTGCCTGGGGTCACCCAAGGCACCAGCTCCATCTGTTGAATTTCTGCCCCCTGCCATCTCTATTGTGCCTCCGACCATGGGGGAGTGCCAGCACGCACCTGGAGAGTCATGATCCCCTCTGCTCCCCCTCCCCTTGCCCTGGGGCCTGCAAAAGCCTCCACAGCAGCTGAGCTGCCACTGCTCACAGCCTGCCTGGGGCAGCCCCTCTGCTCCCTGGTGCATCTCAGTTTGTGACCACCTTGTCTAGCCCTCTGATCAGGATCTGCATGGGATGCCAATCACACATGTCCATGTCTGCAGCAGGAGGGCAGCCACATGGGGCACACTCACCGCCCAGACCTTGGTGCCACGGCTCATCTTGCCATGGGGCTCAAACATCCAGCCCTGGTAAGACAGCAGCAGCTTGAGTGTCTGCCGGAAGATCAGGATCCCCGAGATCCAGACGCCAGTGGAGAAGAGTGTGGCACTTAGCAGGGTCCTGTTCTGGAAGCTCAGGTACCGGCTGGAGAGGAGAGGAGACAAGAGGAGAGGGGGCTGTGCAGGGGTATCTTCAGGAGTTGGGGGACCTCCTGGGGGAGCAGAGTGGGGACTGCAGTGAACTGTGAGGACCTGACCTGGCACCAGGGAGATCTGAGCCCCCGCCACAGGATCTATATGCCCCGGCCTGTCATTGAGCTGAATGAAAGGGACCTGGGGGTAATAACAGACCACAGTATGAATATGAGCCAGTAGTGTGATGCTGGAGCCAGTAGGCAAAATAATACTCTGGCATGCATCAATCGATGCATCTCCAGCAAAACCAAGGAGGTGATTCTTCCACTCTATGTTGAGGGTCCAGGATGGGTGGACATTCCTCAGGGAAACCATTCTTTGGGCTCAGAGTGAGTCAATCCCATGGCAGAGGAAAGGGAGAAAGGGGGCCAGGAAGCCCCTTTGGCTAACCAGGGGCATCCAAGATACCTTAAGGGCAAAAAAAGAGGCATACAGGAAATGGAAGCAGGGGGTAGCTAGCAAAGAGGAGTATACTTCTTTGGCCTGCACCTGCAGGGAGTCAGTCAGGAAGGCCAGGTTAGTGTCAAGGATTAAGGACAATAAAAAGTCCTTCTTTAGGTATGTTGGGAGCAAAAAGAGGGTGCGGGGTAGCATAGGACCCATACAGGATGGGCAGGGGGGCTTAGTGACAGATAGCAGGCATAAGGCAGAGCTCTTCAATGAGTTTTTTGCCTCTGTCTTCTTAAATGGGAATCTAGACGAATCCTCAACATACGTCACAGACACCAACAAAGGGAACATCAATCGACCAATGGTCTGTGCCGACACGGTAAAAAGACACTTGGAGGGACTGCACGTATTCAAATCACCAGGACCAGAGGGACTGCACCCATGGATAATGAAGGAATTAGTGGGGGTCATAGCTGATCCACTGGCAAGGATATATGAGCACTCATGGTGCTCGGGTCAGGTTCTGGAGGATTGGAAGAGGGCTAAGGTTGTCCCAATCTTTAAGAAGGGGAGGAAGGAAGACCCGGGGAACTACAGACTGGTCAGCCTTACCTCTATCCCTGGGAAAATCCTAGACAAAATTATTAAGGAGCACATCTGTGGGAGCCTGCAGACTAATGTGCAGAGGGGTAACCAACATGGGTTTTTAGCAGGCAGGTCCTGCCTGACTTACCTAGTTTCCTTTTATGCCAAGGCCACCAATTGTTTAGATGCAGGAGTTGAGGTGGATGTTATCTATCTGGACTTCAAGAAGGCCTTTGAAAAGGTATCCCATACCATCCTTATAAATAAACTGAGGGGATTTGCCTTTGATAATTACACAGTAGAATGGGTAGCAAATTGACTCAAGGGTCGCACTCAGAGGGTGGTAGTGGATGGGTCAGTGTCAACCTGGAAAGATGTGGGCAGTGGAGTCCCTCAGGGCTCAGTTCTGGGACTGGTGCTGTTCAACATCTTCATCAGTGATCTAGATGAGGGGGTGGGAAGCACCCTGTCCAAATTCGCAGACAACACAAAATTATGGGGGTGCAGCTAACACCCTGGAGAGGAGGAACCAGATCCAGGCCAACCTAGACAGGTTGAGGGAGTGAGCAGAAACAACAGGATGCAATTCAATAAGGACCAGTGCAAGGTGCTGCATCTAGGGAGGAAGAACTGCCATCATACCTACAGGCTGGGGGGCAACCTTCTCAGCTCCACTGAAGCTGAAAAAGATCTTGGAGTCACTGTTGACTCCAGGATGAACATGAGTTGCTGATGTGATGAAGCAGTTGGCAGAGCCAATCGCACCTTGTCATGCATCCGTAGGTGCGTCACAAACAAGTCCAGGGAGGTGATCCTCCCTCTCTACGCAGCACTGGCCAGACCACAGCTCGAGTACTGCATTCTGGATGCCACAGTTCAAGTGGGATGCGGACAACCTGGAGAGGCTCCAAAGAAGAGTCACTCACCTGATTAGAGGCCTGCAGGGAAGGCCCTATGAGGAAAGGCTAAGGGACCTTAACCTCTTCAGCCTCTCCAAGAGAAGGTGAGAGGGGACCTTGTGGTGGCGTACAAATTCGTAAGGGGGGGAGCAACATGAAGTAGGTGAAGATCTGTTCACCAGGGCACCCCCTGGAATGACAAGGAACAATGGCCATAAGCTACTAGAGAGAAGGTTTAGGCTGGACCTTAGAAACAAGTTCTTCATGGTCAAGGTTGCCAGAATCTGGAATGGGCTCCCAAGGGAGGTGGTGCTTGCCCTATCCTTGGGGGTGTTCAAGAAGAGACTGGACAGGCACCTGGCTGGGATCACATGACCCCAGGGTTGGTGACTCTTTTCTTGCCTGTCAGGGGCAGGGGGTCAGACTAGATGGCCCACTGAGGTCCCTTCTGACTCGATGAATCTATGAATCTGTGAATCTACTCAGCACTGGTGAGTCCACAGCTGGAGTCCTGCATCCAGGTCTGGGCACCACACTTTAACAAGGATGTGGACAAGCTTGAGAGAGTCCAAAGAAGAACCACCTGTATGATCAGAGTCTTAAAAGGCAAGCCATATGAGGAAAGGCTGAGGGATCTGGGACTCTTCGGTCTGAGGAAAACAAGGCTGAGAGGGGACCTGATAGCAGCTTACCACTGCGCTAGGGGAGTACATCAAGGTCTTGGCAAGCAACTCTTCACCAGGGCACCCGAGGGGAAAACCAGGAGTAATGGCCACAAACTCCTGGAAGATCAATTCAGGCTCAACATTAGGAAAAACTTCTTCACAGTCAGGGTGTCCAGAATGTGGAATAAGCTCCCTTCAGAGGTGGTGCAATCACCTACCCTGAAAATCTTCAACAGGAGACTAGACAGTCACCTTGCTGGGGTCACCTGGCCCCCCCAGTTATCTTTCCTGCTTGGCGCAGGTGGCTGGACCCAATGATCTTCCAAGGTCCCTTCCGGCCTTACAATCTATGAATCTATGAGCTGCTTGGCTTGGCTTCCTCCTGCATAATGGGACAGTGCCTGGCCTCGCCCGGCCCAGCCCCCAGGGGTGAGCGTGGCTCCTGCCTGCTCCAGCCAGGAGAACCCCACCAGGTGCATCTGTTTCTCTGTGTGTGTGTGCACGCGTGTGTGTGTGTGTGTATGGTGGTGTGGGGGTACTCACCTGCTGGGCAGGCATTGCCGTATGTGGCTGATGAGCCCCATAGACAGGTCAACCTGGCAGTATAGAGAGCCCACCGTCGTCATGACGACCACCAGCCAGCTGGAGGGGGTGGCAGGGTACACACCAGTCAAGAAGGTGTTCTGTGTGAAGAGCATGAGGTCAGGGTTGGGTTAGGGTTAGGGGTCACAGAGGCACTCCTGCACTGGGACTCCCTGGGCTCTACCTCTACCCCAGGCTTTGCAGGGCAGCCCCTCCCCTCTTCTCCCCCTAGCACCCAGACCCCACAGGACAGCCCCACGTCCTGTGCCTCTGAAGCCCCACCACCCCGTGCCCTGCAGTGCATCCCACCCCCACTCCCAGCCTCACCTTGAGGCGAGTGAGGCGCTTCTTCCAGGCGGCGATACCTGACAGGTATATGTGCTTGAGGGCCTCCCGGCTCAGGCGCAGGTCAAAGCCCTCAGGGGTGACCGTGAACTGGAAGGCCACAGCCTGGTGTGCTTCCGCCATGGTGGGGGCTGATCAGTGCCTGCAAGACACTGGTGATGCAGCATGGGGGGTGATGGTGGGCACAAAGACAGGGGATCCCAGTGGGACCCTCAGTCCTGTGCCCTGCTCCCTGCCTACAGTGCATCGCATGCTTGCCCCCAGCCACGGCACCATGGATGCCCTGCCCCTCATCCCGATATCAGTCCTGGGACGGGGACAGACAGGCAGGCATGGCCTTCTGGTCCAGAAGCACTGTGGGTGGTGGTGGGAAGCCACAGCTCTGTGCCTCAGGAAGGATCCTAAGGCATTCTCCATCTTTTGGATCCCATGGCTCAGTTCCAGCCTGTGCCCAGCCTGGGGGCCAAGTCCCTACCACGCCCATGACCCCCTGCCCCCCAGCTGCCCTCTCCATGCCTGCTGCTGCAGAGACACCAGCACCAATGCCGCAGTCCTCACTCTGGCAGGGAGGCTCCAGTGGCACAGGAGGGCAGGGTCAAGCTAAGTGATTGCCATCATCCCCCCCCCACACACCATGGTGGCTTCGCTGGTCACTGCTTGGGTGTCACCATATAGAGCAACAGAGCGACTCTGTGTTCACGGGAAGCACAAGAGGCCATTCAGGATGCCCCTCTCCTCTCCTTGCAGTCTCCCCAGCTCTATTAGTCTACCTTTGGAGTCTTGGGCCTAGCCCACCACGTTATGTGCTAGCCTTCCTTAGGTGGGGAGGCTACTGAAAAAGGGGGCAACTAAGTGCTTGGGACAATGGATGCAAAAAACATGGACGAGAGTGTGGGCCAAAGGTTCAGAATAAGAACACCAATGGGGGATACCGAGCAGAGAGCCCACTGGCCCTCAAATGTGTCCAAGATGCTGAAGCCCCTCAGCACCTCCACAGCCAGTGGTGCAGGGTAAGACCGGGCCCTGAGCAGCAGCTTGAGGAGGCTGCAGCCCCCAGCTCCCTAGGACAGGCACAGATCAGTGCCCATGAGCTGCCACACCCCAGGGCCTGCAGCTGAGGGCAGGGGTCTCTCTCTCTCTCTCTTTTTCTCTCTTCAGCTCTGCTGCCCACTCCTTCCCAGGCAGCTGGTTGCTTTGGCAGACTGACAGCCCTACCTTTGCCCTAAGACTGGCAGGAGCATACCAAGCGGTGCCCAGTCCTGCTGCAAGACCACCTCAGGACACAGATGCGCAGCACCTGGCAGGAAGGCCCTGGCCCTGAGGTTCCTGGATGGCCCAGCGTAGGTGGTGCCCCAGAGTCCCAACTGCAGCAGAGCCCCGAGTCTTGGTAAAGGGGCAGGGCCAGAGTAGCCTGATGGAGAGGCTGCTACCCACTGACTGCCTATAGCTGTACTCCAGGCCCTGCAGGCCATGCCCCCCTTGCAGTCTGGAGCAGCAAGCATCACTCCCATGTGGAGTGAGCCACCCAGGTGAGCCATGCTCCAAGGTGGAAGCCACCAATTATAACCTGCTCAGTGGGGAAAGGGTGGGAGGCCAGATATGCCTGGTCAGAGCTGCCCACGAGCAGTGGCTGCAGCTGCCAGGGCTGGATGCAGTGGAGCAGGAACCCCAGCAGAAATGCGGCATTGCTGCTTGGAGCAGCAGGCAGATGGGTTGCCCAGGTCTCTCTGGGGCAGTGGCTGCCACGGAATGAGCTGTCAACTGGAAGGATCTTGGGATCACACCTAGTCCAGACCCGGCCCAGGGCAGGGTCTGCCCCAGGGTACACGGATGGCGTGGGCTCTGTCTGCCCTAGGGCCACTGCTGCTGTGGAGGTGCCACCTGTGGCAGCACTGGGAAGGGCCCGGGTGGCGTGCTCCTCCTCGGAGACAAGGCCCGGGACGGCCTGGGAAGGGTGCATAGCAGCGGCCCGGGACGGAGCAGCTCAGCACAGCCCCCGCAGGGTGAGGGTGCCCGGCTCCTGCCTGCCCTGGTCCCCGGGCACGAGGGGAAGCGTCCGCGCGGCACGTATTTACCTCGCCGCAGGGAGGCCGGGACGCGGCCAGTCACGTGAGGCTGGAAAGGGGCCCAGCGGGGGAAGGGTCAGGCTCGGCTCCCTGGGCGCCGCGGGGAGGCGAGCGGACCTGCGGACAAGCCTGACGAACCCGCGAGCAGCCCTGGGCGCTCGCGGTGGGTGCCCCCGGGGCCAGGCGCCGACGGACACACAGCACGGACGCGGCGC